AATTTTGAATCTCCAAAATGGGCGTAATTTCAGTAAGAGTTATTCTGAAGTAGCGAAAATACAAATATGAACAAAAAATTCTGAAGTGAATTGTTTGAAATTAACACACTTTATAACTAAATTTTTGTATCCAAAAATCGAGGGTGCAGTTAGTTTATCGTTAAGACTGATAATATTCTATATGAAATTGGTACACACAAAATTCGGGTTTAAAAATTTTTAGAGAAGAAAGTATGAGTACGTAGTGAAAAAATTTCTTTCTCGTGCTTTGGCTCTATTCAGGTATGATACAAACAAGCAATGCTTCATAGAAAAAATGCATAATTACGTAATGTAAAAATATAAAGTTGTGCACTTGTATTATATTCAAACTCTTATAAAGTGTGTTACAGCATACGTATGTCAATAAATGCATGCACATGTACCGTATTTTGCGGAATCAAATACCCCCTTCCTCCCCCTTTTCAGTAATTTTGTTGTAAAAAATCCGTACGTATACATGTACATGTACATGTACATGTACTATACATAGTACGTACCCGGTACATAACGTTCAGCATATACATGTAATATTACATGTACATGTATATGTATTTAGTAAAAAATAAAGCGATTATAGACATACGTACTCCTCTATAACGATAAGCACACAATCGGGAACATCATACTTTTTTAAAAAAATGTGCTGATACAGAGATGTATGACTATACAAGTATCTCATTGTAATATTCTCCTCCAGTCAAAACATCCACCGAATACAATCAACTCTCTCTCTCGCTCTTACTCAGTCCAATCTTATACATGTAAGACCTTTAAATATACAGCTCTCTCTAAATGCACGCCTATATCTGATGGCCCCGGTGAATTGTATTTAGAGAGAACTGTATGATATCCTATCCAATCACAGTATCTTTATTCCGCAAAATACGTTGACGTTGCCAATATTTAACGTTAATAATTTTTTGTTTATCGATAATACTATTTATTCAAAACAATGTTTAAATTGCTAAATACAAAACCTTCCAAAAAATAAAAACTGTATTGAAAATAATGGATGGCCACGACTAAATTACCAATCAGATAACTACTCAGAGTTAAAAATAGAGAAAAATCACTAGTTTTCACTTCCATTAATGTTAATATGTAAGTAACATTTGTAAATTACTTTTCTAAATATTTTTAGTTTTACTAATACATAAGAGAGAACGTTACGAGTTTACTAAATTAAACTTTGCATATTTTTGTTTCGATTTTTCGTTAAATAAAACTAACAGACACAAACAAAAATATATATTTCGAAAAATAGTTGACAATATGTGATAAACTATTCTTATTGTTGTCCAATTAACGATAGAGTGCAAGCGCTCGATTGAGTATTTATTACTCCGCCTGCAGTATCTTGATTTTTATTGCAGATACGATAGCTGGAGTCAATGCCAACAGTCCAAGCTGAATTGAGAACACCTGGAACGCCTAAATTTGTATCAATCGCATCTCCCGGGATCGGATAAGAAGAGACCATTGAAATCAGAGAGAAAATAACGAGAAAATAGTATTTGAAATGCATTTATTCGTATTGAGTTGTTTAAAAAAAGAGTCAGAATGTGCGTACTTTTATAAAGAAACGAGTAAAAATATACTGTTTTATCTACTGTACATGTATGTGCATTACATTGGCGCATTATACATGTACATGTACATGTACATTATATACTGTACTTAAAAAGACACATGCATCTACAATGTAAGGCGTACGTATTTGTATTATCGTCATCGTTATTTATGCTTTTTAATGGAGTACAATTATCTCTCTATCATCCCTTGCATAATTATCACTATCTTATTATCAAAGTCAATACAGTCTTCGCGATTTGTTGGGTTATAATGCTTCAATTAATAATAATCGTGCTCTCGAAAAACATTTTGGACGAAAGTTGCGGTTGTGTTATAACTAGTATTATATATATTTTACACTCAGAAATTTTGAACAATGTCAAATGATCAAATAATTATAACTACTATTATATATAATGATAATGCTCAAATTATTAAGTTTGAACTTACTGGTTTAGTAAATATAAAAAATTCTGATCAAAAAAATTTGTAAAATACTTTTATATGAGTTTAGAAATACTAAAATAATAAGTCATATATTAAAACTGCAGATATTTATAGCTTTAAAATAATCATATATGAGATATTATAGATAAATAATCATTTGTTATAATATGTAATATCTATAATAAAGTACAATTTATAATATTAAATAATATTTCTGAATATTGCAAATTTATTATTGCAAAATGTTAGATCCCAAAAAATAAATCAACTACTTGGAAACTTCATATTGACTCTATCAAGCATGATATTATTATTATTCTCAATAAAAATTCCATAATTTATAATTTTTATAATATTATAAATTATAATATAATATAGTTTTATTCAATCTTTAATATATAATATAAAATTTGTGAATATTACTTTTTTTATTAATAATTAAGTTGTAAGGATACTTTCTTATGTGAAAAATAATAAGATAAATTTATTAATTGCTGTAATAAATTATATCAATTGAGATAATTTTCAATTTTAATTTTAATAAAGCTTATTTCTTTATTTATTAAATAGTGAAAAGATCTAAAGAGTTATAATACAAAACAGAGACATTTAAATACATAATTGAGGTTTAATGAACTACAAATAAATTAATAATAAAATAGAGAGTGATTGGTTCTAAATTATTAACCTTAAAGGTGACATGTCTTCAAGTTATGCTGTACTTAATGAGATATGTATAAAATATAAATATTAATAAAAGATAATTAATATGAATTATATGAATTAAAAATAATAAAAGAAAAAGAAAAGAACAAATAAAAAGAAAGGTAATTAAAACCAATGTGTGTCTAAATTAATAATATGATCTATATTTTATATTTAATCTATTTAGCACAACATTAAGAAGTATTAAATGTAGATTTGTGTTAATTTCTAACATGTTATACAAAAATTGATAAATATAACACGAAAAATGATAGATATAACACAAGAAATTACAAGAATATATGAAAATTGTTATATAAGTAACAACAAGTTACATTTTTTGCATATTTAATATTTATTTTCATTTTTCATTTCACTTTTTATTTTTTTTTTGTATTTTTATTTTTCAAATTAATCATTTGCTATTAATATATCTTATATTTTATTTTCAACAAGAATATTCTTAATTTGAATTTCATTATCTTTATCTAATTATATTTATATTAATTTTATTTTTCATATCTTTAGTTTTATTATTATTTTTATTTCAATTTTTAATATTGTTTTTCTTTATAATTTATTTCATGTTATTCAATTTTTCTTTAGAAATTTTCTTTTTACTGTGATCTTATAATTTTTCTTATCTTTAATACTAATATTTATATTAATTTTCTCTTGTATTTTATTTTTATCATCTTGTATAATTTTTTATTTATTTTTTAGTTTTTGTTCTTCTTTAGTATTATCTGTAAATAGTGATATAATTATTAATTATTAATCATGTAAACTGTTGAAAATATATAAAAAAGAGTTGTTCATTATTAGAAACTCTCATGCTCTAATCTAATAAAATAACAAAGTTCTTACTTGTGAATATACTAATTATTTTTGTGATCATCTTCAAACCTTGACTACAAGTAGTGAATGCTCCTTCACTCTAAATAAGCTATTGACTTTAATATTTTTGTTTACTTTGATTTTATTATTTTTAGACTATATCAATAAGTCCTGGTTATTTTATTTAGTTGTTTTATTTTTATTTTCATTATTGGTATTCTCAATAAGTCCAATTGTTATTTTATTTCATTAAGCATTCTTAATAAGCCCTGTAGTAGTTATTCTATTTTTATCTTATTCTTTTATTTAATTCCTCTCTTTGTTCCTATTTTATCTTTGATATTAAGTTAGTTTGTGTACAAGCTACCACAGGAGACCTTTAGAACCTTTAGTGAACTCCATTAATCATAAATCATCCAGTCTTTGTTCTTTTACTGTTATGTTACTTTGTTAATTCATTAATTTTAACAATTCTTGAATTAATGAGAGCAATATACACTTAGTCTGAGTACTTTGTATTCTCAATATTGCGGCTCTTTAGAATCTCCTAAGACACATGAAGAAATTATCGAGTGTTTTAAACTTGAAAGAAAGAAATGAAATGAACTTGACAAATATGAACAAGAGCAAATACACTCGAATATAGTTTACACCAGTCGAATTTTACTACAAAATTAATTTCAACTCCAACTATGACAGTACTTTTATTTCTAAATATAGGTCATGTGTCATGTCGACATTTCATATTTGACAAGTGACAGTTTGTATGTTCTAAACGAAGGTAAAATTACTTGTTATATTATTTTTTAAGAAAATACAGTATCAGCAAGCCAGTAATTGTTTACATACAACTTTAGAATATGTGACTACTGAATATGATATCGATATACGTAGATGTCAAATCTACAAGCGTCAGTTTGTATCTTAAAAACTAAAATTTGAAGGTAAATTTATACAACGTTGATTGTATACCGTGAATAAGCAGCCCCTTACGTCATCAATTTGGGATCGGTTTTTTGGGGAGGTTGCTTATTCACGGGACTTTCTAAATACTTAATGCCTATTGGCCCAACGGTTAAATTATTCACTGCGTACGGTTTCGATCGCGTCGCTAATTTATTGACCATCCAGTTTAGCTATTTCATTGGTACTAAACATTTATTGAAGCTGGTAATTCCGATCGCTACACGCAACGTTGGGGTGTGTGGAACAAAACTATGAATGGTCTCATATAAAATATTATTAGCGTTAGGTATATTGATATCGATATACGATAATACTTCTTTTTCAGGTAATTGTCAAAGTTAAGTCAGCTCGTTGTTGGTTTTCATTATTGGTGGAGTCGTTTCGGGATTCTTTCAAGATGTACCTTATTTGCATTTCTTAATTGAAATCGGCGTTTATATGATGTGTAAATACCATGGTTAATTAATTAGATGTGTAACCTTTACCGTTACCGTTACGACTAAATATTTTGAAGTAAATTTAAGCGTTATTAAGTCCAGAACGAACAAGTTTACAAAGCCAAATTTTACATATTAACTAAAAAAAATTTGAATATTCAACGAAGTCAATGAAATATAAGATGCAGGTAAAAATACAATTGATTTCTTCGTAAAGATAATAATTAATGTAAATGAAATTTCGTAACTTTGTAATTATAACGCGTGGAAATCAAATGATATTTAAACAATCTAAAAAGGAAATGTTGTTTAGTCTCCACATCTAAAAATCGGGTCCTCGTTTTTTAGTCGCGCGTAGTTAATATGAAGTATTAACGTTAAAGTCGATCAAAATTCTGTAAAAATTTATTATTGATTAATCGTTCTGCTGAAGAATTAGAATTAGATGAATATATAATATTTTTTTTATTTTAGTATATACAAATGGGTTGCTTATTCACGGGGATTGCTTATTCATAGAACTTTACGGTATGCATTATATATTTTATAGTGTGTTAGCATATGTCTCACGAGAGTTTGATATTGATGTTGAAAAGATATCCGAAAGAATATCCAAACACAACGTAAGTTTTCTCGTTAACAACGACGACGGAGCCTCAACCGTTTAAAATATTATATACTATTTTAATTTTATTAAAAACAGAGTTTAAAGAGCATATAACGAACAGTAAACGTTCTATTTATACGTGTCGGAGAATCAAATAAAAGAGGAATTATTTCATTTCTATTGAATTAAGATAATAGCGATAATATTTTTAATTAGTGACTCAAATTAATGATTCTTTGTTTATAAAAAGTGGATTCTTTAATTCTTTATTTTTTATATTTTTATTTATTTTACTAATATTTCAAACCATTTTATAAAGTGAATTCAAAGATGGATTGTGAATTTTGAATACCCATCAATAAAATCGAGATTGAATTACCGCAATGAGTGTTCACAATGCTCGTGATGTAAAAAAGAAGTCCGGTACTGTTCTGCACAAACTCGTGAAAACCTTGCAAGCAGTTATTTTTTTTCATCGCAGCTATAAACATGGGTATTCGAAATTTTAGAACCCATTTTTGAGCTCACTTTATATGTTGTGTTTTATTTGAAATTTTGAAATAAACGAATTATAGAACAAAACATTATTTTTTTCTATGGTGCATAACATCTAAAGTCATCAAACGTTTGTATTTATAAAACGGATAAACTTCTTTACTAAAAAGTAAATACAAAATTTATTCCGTGAATATAATAGAATAGGCCCTTCTGAGCATATTCACGGTTTGAATTTTGTATTTACTTCTTAGTAAAGAAGCGAACTTGCATATTATATACTTCTAGATGAAAAGAAAATAAATTTCTATATTTGAATATATTACGTACACTTGATATATCATGGTAAATAAATGTCCACATTGTGAGTATTTATCTGCAAAAACAAGAGATCTTTGAATCCCAATCAAAGTT